ATCTTTCTTTCTTCTGAGGAGTAGCTGGTGGGTTTGAACCAATGACCTTTTGGTTGGCAACCCAGTACTTAACCCACAGCACCACCAGGGCTCTTGAAGTTCATGAGAGCATACAGTTAAAAAAGGACTTTTTACAATGAATGCACTGGATGTAAATAGCTAGCTGTCAGTGATAAGGTGACATAAAATGGTTTGGGCTCAACTATTAACCTAAAGGTTGGAGATTTGAACCTGCCCAGTAGTACCACAGAGGAAAGACCTGGTAATCTGCTTCAGTTATGATTACAGCCAAGAAAACTCCAAGGAGCAGTTCTACTCTGTAATACATGGAGTTTCCATAAGGCAGAACTGACCTGACATCAAGGAATTTCATTTCATTTCTGCTAATGATAATGCACAAATACTCACTGCCTTATTTTCCTCTTGAAATCCATGTCATAAACCTTACAGACCAGTTCAAATGGAATTCTATCTGTGAACTATGACAAGGTTCAAATGAACCCTGATAGAACTGTTTTCTACTTTTTACATTGTGGGTATTATGGGATTTGCTCCACTATGAGTCACAGCCAGCTGCCCCACTAGTCCCTGAATGTCTGAAGGGTTGTGTTCTATTCTTTTTATCTCCCTTGCTCGATATTTGGCATATCATAGGACTGAGAAAATGTTTGCTGAATGAATGAATAAATTCACTGGCCAAAGCAGTTTTCTCCCAATATGTACTATCTACTGTGGTGGTGTTACTGTAAGATAAGCACTGGACTGCTAGCCACAATATCAGCAGTTCAAACCAACCAGCTGCTCCTTGGAAACCCTATTATATATAGGGTTACTATACATTGGAATCAACTTGACAGCACTTAACAACAACGACACTAATGTGAGTGGTTACAAAGCTTAAAATAATATACAAAATGAAGCTCATCTCAAAACAAAATACCTGCAAATAACCTTATGCTCTGGTAGCGTAGTGGTTACGAATCGGGCTGCGAACCTTAAGGTCAGCGGTTCGAAACTACCAGCTGCTCCACGGGAGAAAGATGAGGCTTTCTACTCCCGTAAAGATTTACACCCTCGGAAACCCTGTACAGGGTCGCTATGGGTCGGACCCGACTCGATGGCACTTAACAACAACAACAACAACAACCTTATGCTAGCAAACTAGTAAATCCTCTCTATAAATAATTAGGGGTATAAAAAGCTGTTACCATCAAATAACTTTAAAGTCAAACAAAGACTACCAAGACAACACAATATTTCCAAAACACAACAGAAGGAAACATATGTTCCAGGATATGAATTCAGAGATGAGATCTGAATTTCAGTTATTTCTCTATTTTCTTGAGTACTAATATTATCTGTTCTGGGTGATTTTACTGAGATTTTTAATACATAATTTTACAGAGTGGGTGTGTGAAACATAAAGACTTGATTTCACCTCTGAATTATTCTAAATGCTAGGTTAGAGGAAATAATAAAATGTTTCTCTGTGTTAAAAAAATGTACTATAAAAGTTAATGCTTATGTTAGGGCTACACATTTAAAAGTAGTTAATTATCTACATGAGAGAAGAAATTAGCAAATTCATAATTTGTAATTCCATTTTCACTTCTATTATAAGAAATTGTTACTGGGCAGAGCAAGTAATGTTCAGCATAGTCCTTGAATTCTGTCCTAAATATCCAGTGCAGAGATTTAATGGATGTTCATGGGACACAAAGACCACACCAGGCAACACAGAAAATGGTCTCATTATTAGGGAGAACTCTTGAAATTCTAAAGAAAAGTAATTTCAAATATTTCAGCAAGTCAGTTTATAGAAACAAGAAAAACGGAGTCATAATAATTACATGCAATACAAGATCCTTGAATGCTCCTGCATCCTTGTACTCCCTTTAAAAGAAAGGATATATGCGGAAATCTGGTTCAAAACTGTATACCAGATAATAGCATTGTGTCAAGGTTAAATTCCTTGAGTGTTTTATTATGGTTATGCAGAAGAAAGTCCTTGTTCTTGGGAGATATACTTTTAAGATTCCTAAAAGGTTCAGAAAAAATATATTTACATAATTGTGTGTGAAAAAGAGAAAGGGAAAATAGTGTGCCAACGCAGCAAAGTATTAACAACAGGGGGACATAAAGTGTCCATTGAACTATTTTTACCCTTTTCTCTATGCTTGATGTTTTTCAAAATAAGATGGCAGGGTAAAAAAAAAAAAAAAAAATTCAGGTAGTGGTCTGGCCTCATGATACAAAGCATTATTTTACAACTGATGGGACGTTTAACTTTTTTTTAAATTCAGAGACAAAGTCACAAAAGGAAACCAGTATAATCTTGTTCAACATCTACTGTGTGAAACACTTAAAAAGAGACTAACTATAGTAAAGGAGCTCTGGTAGAGTAGTAGTTAGGAGCTGGGCTGCTAACCTCAAGGTCAGCAGTTCAAAACTACCAGCCGTTCCGCGGGAGAAAGATGAGGCTTTCTGCTCCCATAACGATTTACAGCCTCAGAAATCCTGTACAGGGTCACTATGAGTCAGAATCGACTCCACAGCATATAACCAACCAACAATATTAAAGGATTAATAACTAACAGTGTTAGGACACGGTAGAACTCTAGAAAGTTTTTTTTCTTAGAGGGTTTCCTGGTTTTGTTTCAACCCGTTGTCAGTAGCAAGGAGCTGAACACCAGTTTTGAGAGCTTACACACCCTAGATAATGCACTGGACTACAAGGTTGGTTTGAATTGCAAGGTCGGCAGTTCAAACTCACAAGCCACTCCTCAGAAACCCTACACAGGGTTGCTATGGATTGGAACCGACTCAACGGCTCTTAATAACAGCAACAACACAGACCCTTAGAAGGAGACCTAATAATATAGTGGTTAAAGCCCCTGACTGCTAACCAAAGGGTCGGTGACTGAAATCCACCAGGCACTTTTCCAGACAAAAATCAGACATTGCTGGGAGCTTTCCTAAAAACCATCTCAACAAGCTTGAAGATAGCTGTTAAGACCTCAAACTGAAACAAACATAAATTAAGAAATTATAACTCAATAAATAAATTACATGCAAATTCACACAGGAAGTGGGAAGTTCAAATTTGAGTCTGTGTAACTCCAAATCCTAGGGTCTTTCCCAAATAACATGCCCAGTAAACAAGGATGCAAACGGATCATTGTTTGCTTTGTTTTACTTTTCAGAGATTTGTTGGTCTGCTGCTTCTACAACTACAATGAACTTTAAAAAGTAATTACAACAATAGATCCCCAAACATAAAAATTCCTCAAATGTTCAGTAAAAAAAGTAAATTATGTGTGTGTATGTGTGTGTGTGTGTGTGAGAGAGAGAGAGAGAGAGAGAGAGAGAGAGAGAGAGAGAGAGAGAGAGAGAGAAAACAGGACAAAGAGGGAGAGAAGAGACCGTGTTAATGTTCCAACATATTAACTTGAGGAACCTAAGTAAAGCATATACAGGTGTTTGTTGAATTATTTTTAAACTTTTCTCTAAACTTGATGCTTTTTAAGATAAAATGTTGGCATTAAAAAAAAAAAAACTCAGGAAGATTATTTACCCCAAAACTCATAACTATGTTTCTACTGAAAAACTTTTATGTCATGAAGACAAAAGGTACCCCATGCTGGTTGTGCCTTCTTCCCTCCTTGTTCCCACCACTACACAAACACTACATTAGAATATGACCACGTTGGATAGCTTGGGATACAGTTTGATGCCTTACTAGTGTGACTACAACCTCCCATTCCACGAAAGGTATTACAGTGATTTTTAGGATTTAAAATAAACATGCCTTGAGACCAGTACAAACTCAAGAGGATAAAGACGATACCATTCCATTATAGCACCATTTTCCTAATTTCTTATCTTTATAGATCTCATCACCATATGAGAAGGGTAAATTGTATCAGTAAAATGTTACCTTAAAATAGCTTTAATATTATGTAGTATAAGATGATCTTATTAAATAAAATGACTCATTTATACTATATAAACTCCAAAGAAGGTCTGTTTGAAATGTTTTTAACACAAAATTTCCAGTTACTTTTAAAAGAGCTATTTTCTCAAACTAAATGTAGTGGTGCTTCATTGGTCTCTCTATCATCAGAAGGAATTCCACAGAGGTGCATTTTCCAAATAATAATTTATCTAGCTCGATGCTCAAACTTACTTTACTTGAATCATTTTAGATAGGAATGCATTTAATTGTGTCCCATAGATTGAATTACTTGCTAATGATTGTTCACAATGTCTAAGGTCTTCTTTGTAATGTCTCAGGTTGATCACTATGAAGAGGCACTAGGAAACTGATATATTTAAGACAGTGGTAGTCTCAAGGATATTAACAAATATAAAGTAGTTTGCTGCTATTCTAAATGGCTCTGCAATATCAAGTTTTTATATCTGCCTTTTTCAAGATTTTTTTTTTCCTTATTAAAACTCTCACTCATCACTGTTTCTAGGGTGCCCTTCCCCCATCTTCCCTGCTTCTACATTCTTGCTATCAAATCAGATAACCATGTTGCTGTCAGGTGATGTCGAATCAATTTCACCTCATAATAACCCTTTGTAACAAAACAGCTGCTTCGTAGGGTTTAGCTGTAGTCAGTATGGTTGCACATTGCCAGAGTGTTCTTCTGTGGAGTCACTGGCTGGGTTCGAACCTCCAAACTTCCGGTTAGTAGTCATGTATTAACCATTGTGCCACCAGGGCTCCATTTTATCAAGAGCAGAATAAACAAGAGCAAGGATCTCCACTTCAAAAGGTCTATCAGTCTCAGCACACAGTGGGAATTTAAGTTTAGCCACTAAGACATCACTTTCTAGTTCTTGATTATATACCACAGAGTTGCGTTTTCTGGTAAACAACTGTGAAGATAAATTACTACACTACACTAATTATTCTCCTCATGCTTTCCCAATACTACTCTCATTATTACAATGTCACCATGAGGAAGTAAAATTCATAACATACTCAGGCTTACCTGAAGCACGCCTTGTGAATCGGTTTATTACTGGAGCTAAAAGGAAAAGCAGAAACAAATGATTAGAAAAAAAGTCTAATTTTCCCTAAGCCCCAAACTGGTAAGTTATCCCATCACTTAAATAGAAGAGAAATGTTGTTGTTGTTAAATGCTGTCAAGTTGGTTCCAACTCATAGCGACCCAGTAGAGGGTTTCCGAGGATCAGCTGGTGGGTTTGAACTGCCAAACTTGTAGTTCACAGTCCAGTGCTGATTCTACAGCATCACACCAGAAGAAAATTAGCAATGAGTAAATAATACAAAAAAACCCATAAATACATAAAAATCGAATGTTTAAATTTATTAGTAATCAAGGAAATAAAAATTAAATCAATATTTCACCTATTAAATTGGTCCTCTCAAAACATCTCAATAACAATCCCCAAGTGTGATGCTGTATGATAAGCACTGGACTGCTAACTCAAGGCTGGCAGTTCAAATGTTCAAACCCACCAGAGTCACTCCTTGGGAACCTCACACAGAGTTACTATGAGTCGGAAACTACTCGATGAAACACAACAGTTACCTAAAGCTAAAATGACTGAGTTAGAAACAGTGTAAATCTATGCAATGCCTTTGGAAAACAATGTATAAAAATAATTATAGCTGGTATCATGAAAGATTTGTATCCTTTGTTTAAGTAATTTGACTTTTGGAGATTGCTCTTGAATAAATACTACTAATGGAAAAGGTTGTCATCAAACGTTGCTAAGGAAAAAGTACGTAGGTACAAATAAATTCACCAGCAGCATTTTTAAAATGGAAAACAATAAAAACTGGAAACAAAATTTGTAAATGTCCAAGAAGCCTGAAATCATTACTAAATCAGGCATTGCGTGTCCTTGGCATTCTCAGAGTTCATATTTGTGGTTTTGACATTTGTATGCAGTCCAGCGGTCCGGGACATGCAAGTCTCTATACTGGTAGCTGCAATCTCAAACTGGTGTGTGGAAATGCACCTCTCAGAGGCAAGCCTGCCATTCATCTTCCCACTCAACTCAGCTCAGTTGTCCCTTGGGTTCGCTTACATATATATAGCAAGATGGGAGTTAAAAAACAAACACAAAAAATGACCTTTTTTTTGGTTCTGTTTTGTTTTAGAGATTAAGTTTACAGTTAGTATTATATACAGATATACTTTACGTTATCTGTATATATTATATAATATAGATACTATACTACACAGTATATATAATATAATATACACACTAAGGAGTCCTGGTGTGGCGCTGTGGGTTAATGTGCCAGACTGTAAAGCCACTTGAACTTCAAGGTTGGTGGTTCAAGCTCACCAGCTGCTCCTTGGAAACTCTACACAGGGTCGCTATGGGTCGGAATCGACTTGACGGCACTTGACAACAACAACAATATACACACTATACTTTAGTGGCAGAGTGTCATGGATCTACTGTCATATATGATTCAATACTTTTAAAGCAAGACTATGTAACTCGTTTGCAATATGGAAACAGGCCAAGTGAAAAAGAAAACTTAAAAATTTTGCTAGCTCTACAATTCTACTGTGTGAAAAATAAGTATGCACAGGAATAAGTACTAGACGTAAACTTGAGCTATTGACTGTACATTAATCCTTACAATCAAGCTTTATATTAATTATCAGCAACTTCATATGGCTGTTGTTTTATTAAGTACTGTCCAGTTGGTAAGATTTCCAATATCATAAATCTTTGTGGGAGCAGAAAGCCTCATCTTTCTCCTGAGGAGTGGCTGGTGGGATCCAACCACTGACTTTGTGATTCATAGGGTAGTGTTTATCCTACAGAGCCACAAAGCTCACATCTTCTTATCACTTGATGAAAAAATTTTATAGCCAGGTAGAGCCGGGGAATTTGAATCTAGAAGCATCTGGCACCAAAACGGTGTCTTGCAAATAAGAGAAAAAGAAATGATTGAAGCTTGAGATCTCACAATAATGAGTGAATGCTTCCTTCCTCTTTGGTTTACAATGTTATTATCAATTTTTGTTGTTGTTTTTAAGTGCTGTCAAGTTGGTTCCAACTCATAGCGAGAAGTGGCTGGTGGGTTTGAACTGCCGACGTTGTGGTCAGCAACCCAGTACTTATCTTACAGTGCCATACCAAGACTTCATATCATTGACTGCCTCTGTGAAATAAAAAACTCACAAGCCCAACTATTAAAATATTATAGTTTACAGCAAAATTATATCCTTCAAGTTGATTAAAAAACATATCCACTTTTTATATACCAAAATAATTGGCTCATATATGTGCACAGTCATAAATTACTTAAATAAAAAACTTCCACTGCTTTCTTGTTGTTAAGTGCCGTTAAGACAGTTCCGACTTCTAGCGACCCTGTATAGGGTGTCCAAGGAGCAGCTGGCGGGTTTGAACTGATGACCTTGGGATTCACAGTCCAATGCTGATCGTGCTGCACCACGCCATGAGTTCACTAACTTTCTTAGACACTTTCAAACCCCCTGTTCACAATTCCTTCAGAACCTAGTCTCCTACAGAAAGCCTCCTTTGCAATCTACAAGGACAGTGAATGGAGACAAAGTGAAAAGAAACTTCAACCACAGGAATGCATAACAGATAATATAGGCAGATAAAGGCAAAAGAAGGTACAAACCTATCTCAGCCTTGGGGCAAAAACAGAGTAGCCATCCTCTGCCTCCAGCCCACTCTAGCCTCTCTAGAGATGAAATCACACAACTGCCACTATGAAATGTCGGGGATCTTTGTTCTCCTGGGGTCCCTTCTCTGTGAAGCTGAAGGCACAGACTGTCAACAACAGGCTCATTGCTGTCTAGGAAAGCTTTTAGAATATTGTGAGGGCAATTTCAGTTGTCACAAGAATCCAGAGGATCCCCTTGATATTGGGCAGACAAGCTCCAAGATTCCACATAATCAGCAATGCTGTGCAATCCAGATTCATCCTGCATCCCACACAAAGTTCATTCTGCACTGCTTTCAAATATCCCAGAGCACTCATGTTGGGGGGAAAAAAGCCAGTTCATAACAATCTGAGTTTTGACCCTAACATTTATATGTTGTTGTTGTTGTTAAGTGCCGTCGAGTCAGTTCCGACCCATAGCGACCCTGTACAGGGTTTCCGAGGGTGTAAATCCTTACGGG